AATGTCCACAGTAGCTAGGGCTGCATGATAACTGGGAAAAACTGATTACTTTGTTCAATATTTCAGTCACAAAATGAAGAGCGGTAACAAATATTAAAGAATGCATGTTATCTAGAACTCAGTTTTTATGCCGATCTGCTGTTCTTCTTGTTTTACACAATGGGTGTGTTTATAAACTGTTTATGAACCAATAAACTGGCACCAATTAATGTGAGGGTAGATGATAGTTTGCTGGAGCTTCAACATGGTGTTGAAGAATAGCCATTAAACCTTTACCTCCATCAATGTTGCACATACTAAGATAGAAAAAGATCATTTAATGTAATGTTTTTACTAAGTGTATATTATTGCAAAAACCATGTTATTGCTATTTACTGTGCAGCCCTAACAGTAGCTGTACTAAAATAGATCTAACATGTTTTGTCATTTGTTGACACATTTATAATTTCAGGTAATGGAGAGGTAAACACCATATTATCAGACAAACTAGTGTTAGCTAGTGTTACAAATGACACTTCAATGTTAATGCATTAGTTAGCTGTAAATATTTAGAGCACTTTAATGTTTAGAGAGCTTAGCTAGCTGTATCTTTATAATGACAGATTGCGGTCAGGCCCTAATCGGACTGGGCTAGCAGTAACAGGCTATCATTAGCTTTGTAATAAAACTCGGCTGTACCTTTTCCAAAACAGCTGAACTCGACGAATATATTCAGTCTTTGTCTCCTTTATCACACCATACTTACGTTGGGAAACATTTGCAACGCTCTAGAAGCTCATTTTAGCAAATTAATTTACTTTTCAGGCTATTTTCCGCACTGGCTGCGGCCTGCTGTGCTCTCCAGAAGCCTGAACTAGAGTGTCCATTTTAATCTTATTTGCTGCTAGCAGGCTAGGTGAAGCTAACAAGTACCTGATAGGGCTGTGAATCTCTTCGGTCGCACCTGCAAATATAAAGAAAAAGCAGTTGTAAGCATGAAGTGTTGAGAAATAGTTAAAAGTGCTGCAACAAGCTGGACGTGCAAGTTTCTGGACACTTATTTTGGTTTCAGTTAAAAATGGCGGATTGTCAAAAAGCGTAGCTAAAATCAGAATAAGTAAAAGATGTTTACCCATCGCCGAGTCTCGGTTGTTTCCTTGCATACATTACCATCAATGCCGTGTTAGTGTGATTGGAGTGGGATGTGAAAGACTGATAACGCTTCTGTAAATTGTCTTGTTTATTCAGCGACGTAAAATTGTCAGTTATTTCAGCCTAGCTTGTTGTAGGTGTTTCAAAGCTGTCGGCAGCACTGGTCTAAAGAGCGCCCTCACTCAGTCCATCTCAGCCGAGTCTATCTGTGAGGAGACCGAGCAGCTAGTGGAGCTGCGAGCACGGTTGCCAGATATTACACATTCACCCGTTTGGGAAACACTTTAGAAGTCAGTACCTGAGGAAAGTGCCATCTCACTGCATAGATAGATAGATAGATAGATAGATAAATATAATCTTTATTATCATTATATACAAGGACACAACGAAACTTTGTTAGCAGCAATCCTAAACAGCAGCTTTTACAAAAACAACAACAACAAAAATATATTTGTGGTGATATGAGAGAAAAGTATGTAAAAAGTGGCCAGAGCAATTGCTGTTCAGTGAATGGATGATAATAGTGAAGTAATTATTGCACATTGTATTCCCGTCTTGTTGGGGGAGGGGGGGGGGGTGTTTATGGGTTGAGGAGTTTGTCCACAGCTCTGGGATAGAAGCTGTTTTTTAGTCTATTATATGTTAATGTCACGTATTTTCAGGGTTAGGTTGAAGTGTAAACTACTTTAAAGAAACTCAACAAATGTCTTGTTGCGAAATGAAACACAACAATCAAAACCATGTTATCTCTTCTAAAAAACGGATCTCTTCCACCAAAACAATTCACACACATAACTTACGTCTTACACAAAGGTATTACAGAGCATCAGCACTGATGTGATAAATTAAAAACACAACAATCAGAAGTGTTCATATGTTTTGGCTTCATGAGGCCATGTTAGTATGTGGTAATTAGTTTTCCCTTTTATTTATTTCCCAAAATAGACATGTGTATATGCAGCAAAAATGTTGGCTATTTTATGTAGTATGTAGCAAATCTCAGTAATTTCAACCTGTAGCCTATGTAAAATCAGACACAAAGAAAATGATCCTCCTCTGTTCTTGCTGTTCCATCTTCTTGCCTAACACCTGTAGACGTCACTTTTTTTTTTACTCTGATACATGATTTAAGCATTCTTTCCAAATTAGTTTGCACAGGAACAACATGGGTGATACTAACTGGTGGTCAGGGTGTTGCATTTTTAAACTCAGTATTTGTAGGTGCTAAATGATGCAGTTTGTGTTCAGGTCAGGTGCACATCTATGCCTATGAAAGATATTTATGGGATATTTGAAGTTGTTTTGGTTTCAGTGAGTTACAGCTCAAGTGCTAAATATTCACTTTGCTTAAAAACAATGATTTGCAAGGAATTCAATATATAAAAGTACCATCAGGTGTAAGGCTGATGATTTTGCCAATGGTTGATGCCATCACAATATATAGATTGTAAGATTGATAATTGGGGTTGTTATACAAACCTGGCAACCTTGACTGCAACCCCCATTTACCTCCTCCCCCCCTGCGATGGCAACATCCGGGTCATACTCTGCTTACTGTTGAAGAGCAGTCTCGAAACTTGAAAGCCCTCTACGTGTGCTGTTACGTTTGGAAAAAAGCTTATCATTTATCACACCCAGAGTAGCATAATATTTAATTGAGAAACAACGAGAGTGGATTTTACGGTCAGAAGCTGTTGTAAAGGCCAATACAGGCCGACAGAGAGCAGTGACTTATTCTCCCCTGACATCTAGTGGTTTAACTGGGACAACGCAGGCAAAGATCAGAATCACTAATAAAATCACAGCAAATACTTCTTTATTGTAATATTCCTAAAATTCTTAAAGTATTGCAGTTATATCACCAAAATTTAAAAAATATATTATTTTGTTATTTTTTTGTAAAATCTCTGAGTGAAAAAATAGTTAAAGGCCCAAGCATCTTATAATTCAGTTTGTTGATGATTAAAAAAAAGTTCTGCACACATTAAAATAAAGCAAGTACAGAGAGATGATACACAAATATAACATGGCAATATTAATATTTCTAATAAATAGAGAAAGATGTGATTGAGTAAAATGACAATTTTCAAGTCTTCACTTTAGGCCTTTGAAAACGAAACAGTGTGAGCATGCAGATCAGTGTCTCCACATTTTGTGGCTTTGATGGGGCTGTACTGATGGTTCAGAGCGAGTGTCTGTCAGAAGAGGGCTGCTGGGATCCATTGTTCCCACACAATATATCCCACAACCCAGGCTGAGGACAAAAGAAGCTGTGGTTCAGCATTTTGTCACACAGCACATTTTAATGTGGGGACAACGAGGCACAGAGGGGGGCTGCCGCTATTGTTTGCACTTTTCTGGAACGTTCACACACAGTCAAAGATTTTTTTTGTGATTATGCATCTTTTATTTTACATCTTCTATTTTATACTTACAGAGGCTAATTTGTTTGTCTGCTGCATTAAACAAATGTCAGATTTCACAGAATGTATTTCACACATATGAATACAGAGAGTCAAAAAAATAAATCTAAGGAGATGTTTAATTTTTAAATCAATTAATTTTCCATAATATCTAGACAGTCAACTCACATCCTTTTCCATCTTTCTTCTACAGTTTGACTACTTGTTGCGTTCTGTTTTTAACTTGGCCTGTAGGGGGAGGTATTAAACCATTTTTATATCTGCAACAAACGTCATTAACACATTGAGGACATTGTTAATGTTATTCAGGACCAAGCCTAAAAATTGCCAAAAAAGAAAAATGCTAAAAAGACCCCAGACAAAATCCTTCATGATATGTGTATCGTTGTATCAAATATTTGGCATTAATTCTTCAGATATCAATGATGTTTGCTACATGTGGGGAACAAATAGGCCTAATTAAAAATACCTAATAAACTTTACTGAGTAACTTATGTGCAAATGCAGTTATCAGCTCTCGTCCAAATAGGAAAGGGGAGTGTCTGGTCTAGCAGATATCTATACATTAGGATATTTTAACTGAACTCAGAACAGTCTCATATTTTAAACTGACTTATGCTTATATGAAATGCTCATGTGATATATAATGCTTATAAATATATATATATATATATATTTGTTACTATTTCTCAAAATTAAATTAAATTTGTCGTCAATGGGCAGCTGTTATGTTTTCTTTATTTTCTTTATCCTATTGAGATTGAGATAGATATGTGACAGCACATATGAAACACCACAAAATAATAATGATCTTTTAAAAGTCCATTCCACTCGTATTATAGAAAAGCGGATCACTATCTGTTTTGTTTTGTCCTGTTTGCAAATAACACCAAATACGAATAATAATACCAAGTAGAATAACAACAAACCATCCATAAAGTATTTAAAGAATGAATGTAAACAATACTTGTCTTCATCAAAACTGAAGTTTGAGAATAGTGAGTTCCTTAACAGACTATATAAAGCCATGTCTCTGATCCTTACATTTTAGTTGTGAGTACTTAAGGTGGGAAGTCACAAAGTTCACTTTTTTAAACAGTGTTAATTGTCTTTTTTGTAATGTATTTTTGATTTAATGTATTTTATTTATTTATTTTATTATGTATATATGACGAATATTTTTTATGTTAAAAAACATATTTTTGTAAACATCAAAATAAAAAATAAGACGATTTACGACGGGGGCGTCACCTAATGATTGACAATACTGTAAGCCAATCAAAATAAAGAGCCAAACAACTGACCACGCCTTTAAAGAACACTGACCAATGAATGAACGGATTAGGCGGACGGTTTGAAAAGCCCCGTGCTTAGCAGATCTCAGGACGGTTTCGTGACGTCACACATCCCCGCCTGTCATCTGGTGTGTAAACGTAACAAACTGGTTCCAGATCAGCACCTTGAGAGTCCTCATCATCTGTCGTGGAGAGAGTGGCACGGCCGAGCCGAGGCGTAACATTTTGAAAGGCTGTGTTCAGTGGATATCCACAGGGAGCGGGGGATGAGTAAATTTGGGAGGTTTGTCGGAGCAAATCACGGATTTTAAAGTGCGAAATAACAACAAACAACTGATAAGTTTTGTCCTGGAAGGAATCTTTGGGAGTAGACCAGCAGAGACCTGCAGGAAACCATTCAACTTCTACCTCCCATGCGAAGTGAGTAACGTTACTTACACATTGTATCAAGCTGAACTCTTTTTAGTTGGCAAACAGTTGTGAAGCTCAAAGTGGATATTTCTGGAAGAAAAGAGTCGAAAATAGAGTCTTGCAAAGCGATATCGATGTGGCTTTAAAACAACTTAAAACATGACAGGGCAATTTTAATGCACTCGGTTCGGAGACTAATGTACAGCTAGGTGCACACTTTAACATCAACTACCTTTCAGGCTGCTGTGTTTTTATTCCAGAGCCGACATTAGTGCTTTTTTTCCTCAATGAAATTCCACCTGACGTATTCTCTTGAGTTCAAGTTCTATTCTGTCAAGTGAATGCACCTTGAGCAAACGTAGTGTTTATTAATAACATAAACAGGTGCAAAAGCTGCAGTAGAACCATTGTTTTTAAAACCACAAAGCTTACCCAGAAAAACGAAAAGGAAGTTATAGTCAAGGTATGACAACATGTACACAAAACCAAGATGATAACATTTCCTCGTGACATAACACTGAACTTCCACAAAACACACCCACGCCCCGAGGTCCCCACTCTTCAGGAAGTACAGTGTAGCTGCAGGGAAGCACCATGCATTACCAGGGAGGAGAATACAGAGCCCTTGTACCCTGCAGTCAAGTGTGGTGACACGGGTGTTTGTCACTGGCTGACAGCGCCAAGCCTCTGAGCTGGCACCCCTCTGGAGACTCAGCATTTGGCTAACTTCCATAAGACCCCCATTGTTTTGTTTCCAGTTTGTGTAAATATATATGTGTCATCTTAACTATTATTGTCTGAGAGTATGCCATGATGGGAATAAGCTCTTGTCACACGATATGGTGAAGATCCTTGCACATCTTTAAACATGACAATGTGTAATAATAACCCTCATCTGTTTCGTGATGTGGTCGATATTGGATGGACCAAATATGTCAGTGGTAATGCCATGTAAGTGGAAATGTCATTATTCTGCATTCCAGTGAGTCATTTTCTCCCCTCAACAGAATCAGCGTTTCTCTTGAAAGCACACATGGCCATCATTCGCTCAGCAGAAGTGTGCTTTTTTAATTTTTTTTTACATTTATTTCGGTCACAAGAAAAAACAAAAACATTTTGACCGAAAAGGTGTAGGCTGAAGCTTTAGCTTATTTCACCTGCCCTTGTTACACATCTTATTATTTAAGACACTACTAGTTTGGTAACAAAAAAACAAAACATATCAGAACAAAATTTGTTCCAAGAATTTCTTTCAAAACACTTCTTGATGTTTAGGTGGTCAGGATGGTTGCATTCATTATCTTACAGCACATTGCTTTTGAAATGTTATCTTAGATTTGTGTCCTGTAGTGTTTTTATCAATCATTCATGGTTCTGACGCCTTGCTTGCCAAGTTTGTATAGCCATAGTCTGAATGAGGTTGTTACTGTTATTATCTGTGGCATGTCTCTGGACATATTCTTTCCACCACTCAGCCTTTTGGTCTGCTACTGCTAAAATCTATTTAGAACATTTCCTCGCTGTAAACACTTCTTCATTGGTATCTGACAGTTGAAAAGTCTGATATATTATGTTACGGGATGCATCAGATCAGCATCGTTATTGGCCGATTGGCAAATAATGCTCGATTGGATGATGTCAGTAGCCGATATTGATCTGTTGAGCCAAATCGATTTAATGTTGACATCTAGTAAACGTAACTACTGATTCAAATAAGGAGGATGGAGTCACCTGTTGAACAAACTCTGACTTGGTTTTATTGACCAACATGAGAGAAAAGTGGCATTATGGGAGTCCAGACACAACAAGGAGATCGCCGGCCATCAGTCCTGTCGGAAGTTTTTGCGGTGTGTCCGGCTCCGTCGCTACCCATAGGCCCCTGTCTGCCCTTTTTTTGCCGATTCGACATGTTGAATAGCCGTGTCGGTGAGAGGGATCTCTCTGATTGGCTGTTGGAAGGTTTCATTTCTCTCCAGCTCTCCTCTCAGGTTCAGGAAAGCCCCTTGAGCATGCCGCTGTAGTATCCATACTTTCACCCATTAGTGCGGTTTCTCCTTATTTGTTGCCTCTTCTTTTCTTTTTCCACTAAAAGACCAAGGAGCTGACAATGCCAGCGCCATTTTCAACTTTTTATCAGACATTATTCTCCATTAGTAGGCGACCTATAATACGGGTGGTGACCGACAGCGGTGTGAAAATGGTCTTCTCGTATCATAACAACGGACTACCGCCGCCCCTCACGCATACGCAGAACGTACGTGGTGGTCGGCTGTAGTCTTTGCGGTGTGATCTAGTGCAACTTTTTTATCCAGGACTGAGGCGACGCAACTGGCGGCCCTTCGTCGCCACTAGTTCTAGGCCGTCTGCTTGGTGTATCGGGGGCCTTTACACCAAAAAAGTGTCAAGAAACAAACATCTGTCTCAGAATCAGCAATGGTCTAAATTGTTATTTCAAACATTGGTATCCGCCCTGATTTTCCCAATGGGTGCAACTCGATATGTTACCTTAATCCCTTACATCATGTTTAGAAAAAAAGGTGCCATTTAAAACCTTATATTCTTCTCTAGCTAATTTCTTTCCCCGATAGTGCCCCACCATTTACCAGCATTATGTCTCTTTTTTTTTGCCTACTTACTGTTATTCTTGTGCTGCTGTGACTGTGAGAGAAGACACAGAAAGGAAGAGGATGACCTTCTTTTCGTTTTATTTGGATGACACAGAGGGTAATCTCTTGAGTGCTGACATTTGTCTGTGTAAACTCAGAAACCTCCATCTTTGCCAGCTTCTCTCTCAGTGGAAATAGCCCCGTTCTGTTTTTAAAGTCTTGTTTAAAAAAGACGACAGGCCACTGTTCCAGCTGGGGCCAAGGGGATTTCTTAGGGGACTTTGATTAGAAGTATTTTGGTCCATTTTATTACTCGGGCGTGTACTGTTCATGAGGGCTCACACACTTTTCAATAAGGCCACTGAAGGCCGAAATGGTCTTAGCTAACCTGGCCTGCCTGTGACTGGAAACCTGGAAAAGCTTTTGTTTCTTGGTTTTTATGCCGTGGTACATACAGAGGCAGCCGAGGTCAGGATGGGGTCGGATGCAGCGTCTCAGACAAAGCCCAGCGTAGGAGGCTCTGCCCAGTGTTGGTTGTCTGGACAGGTGTCTCCAAGCTGCAGCCCCGCATTGCTCACATTCCCAGGCGAGTTTTTGTTCCTGGTGAAGGGGGGGGGGGTCACACAGAGTAGAGGGAGGTAGGTGTGGGAACTAAGAATGCAATGTGTGCAAGGCTCAACTCCCAGAATTCAGCAGAGCAACCTGATGATGGAAACAAACGCTTCCTGTCACTGCGGCAGCCAGGCTTGTGTTGATGAGGAACCTGTCAGCGGCTCATTGCGCTGGTCGTGGCCGAGGACAAACAGACAGTTGGCTTCCTGAACCGCTTGTCAGCAGCAGTATTTTCTTGGGGCTTAAGGGTGTGTAGGATACAGTGGTTTAAGACACTTAATCCAAGCTTTAGTTGGGATCACTATCATCAGCTCACTCACAGGAAACTGCCTCGTTGAGAGGACAGTTGTTGCCCTTTGAAACACTGTCCTTTATTTCACTCACCCGGTCTTCTCATCAAAGACACCTCCATCAGTCATTCATCTTTAATCCCACACAGGAACTGCATGGATCTTATTTGTTTGGGTCCAAGGAAAAGCATTAAGCAAGGACTCATTGTTAATGCCCTAAATACAGTTCTTTTATAACGATGTTCCTGCAGGAATGTAGTAGTTCTGGTAGTGAGGCACACTAAGTCAGATAATGCAAAGAGAGGTTGGCAGGCAGTTTTGGCCTTTTTAAGGGCTTCGTCTTCAATTTATTTATTATTTATCATTACTAATTGGTGCAAAAAGTTTCCCTTTGACTGTATTTGACAATGTATAAGAATTGCTTCCTCGAAGATTTCTTTAATGATGTAAGATAATTTATTTAAACCAGAACAGCTTTTTATGACATTCTCTAAAAAGCCACCAGACTTTGACATTTGACCTCCTGAACAAATAAGATACTGGTCTGTCTCTTTCAGTTCTGGCTCTATCAATAAGCGTCGGTCTCTGCTTCACCCGCTCTCTTGGATATCTTGTAAACATTACAACCGCTGCATTTTTCTTACGTCATGACATTTTTACATCTAGAAAAGTAAAGGAGTGTGAAAACAGCTTTAGCCTGCAATCTGCAGAACACGCCTGTTTAGCGGATGTAATTTGATTTGCATATTTTGCCCAGTAAAATTCCATTGCAGCAATTACCAGCATCTCTGAAAATGATGGATTAAAAGGACTATAGGTTTAAAATGGTTTTGGGGTCTTTTCTCTCCCACTTCATCAAGTGTTGAGTAGTTTCCCAGCTCAGGTCTGAGTGCTGACTTCCAGCCATGGCTAGCCTCTGCATCATGAACAATGAATATGAACATGTTGTCGCAGTAGCTTCATCTACTTATAAAGTCCTTGACCAGATGGACAATCATATGGGTATTGTATGAGGTCCTTAATCTTGTGTTTTTCCATGATTACATTGAGTATTGTTGTCCATGTTGGGACATTGACAGCTAAAAATTGACAAGATTATGAAAGTACATTTCCAACGACAATCTTTGATCAGAGCAGAGCTCATCACTGAGTCAATGTGCCTCGCTTTATAACTGACTGAAGAGCTCATCGGTATGATCTGGTTGAGTTGAGCAGCTTTAACACAGAGGAAAGAACATGTGTGCCGATGTCACCGTCCTGACGTCTACTGTCACATCTGTCTTTTCACTCAGTCACCCTTCCATTCATATTAACTGTTCTTTCATTCATGCAACCCCTTCTCCCTATTCCATTCATCCATCTATTTATCCATGCATGCTGCAACCCATGCATAATCATAATCTTCCTCCATAGTATCACTAATCTCCGTGGTTTCCCCGCAATGGACTTGTGCGCCGCCTGCTGCTCTGCTGATCCTAGACTGAGTGATTAAAATGTTGTA